ATATCAGATCTACAGATAGTTTCTAAAGCATATTTATGAAAAGAAAAAGTTTGTTTGCCTTTTTTCAAAGCGGTAAGTGTCTGAGTTATTTTTATCTCCCCTTCTCATAGGATCTCTTTGGATTTGGCCAGTACAATTTCCATGTTGATTTTCAATTTGCTGAAGCTGCTATTTTCGCCTTTTGAGGAATCAGTTCAGACTTTATAACAATCATTTTTCTTCGTGGATATTTAAAAAAAGTAATCTTCAAAGAATCCCAAACTTTTCCTAGTCGCGGCGCCCCTTTTCAATTAAAATTTTTCCATGGAGCCCTATCCTAAGCATGACTATTCGTAAGTAAGAGGTAAAAATTCTTGTTTGTTTACTTTATTGACATTAAATCAATATTTAATAATTAATGTGATGGATGAGCCTGCAAATCTCTGCACATTTTCTCAAATTGAAGCTTTTACAATATTTCGCGGCTCCCCGGGACGCCGAGGCGCACAGTTTTGCAATCACTGCCTTAACAGAATGATATTGAAGTGCCTTTCATTTCTTTCTTCAAACGAAATGAAAGGTACCAAAACCCCAAGCATTTTTCTGTTTCCAATAGCTGGGGGTTCTTGCTCCCACATACCAACATACATACACACGTGTACGCAAGTAAATATGTACAGATACAATTTAAAACCTCCCAAAATAGCTTATTAACATATTATGAGTGGCCTAACAGATGAAACCAAAACACGCTTTCAAGAAGAATCCGCCGTCGTTTTCTGATGCGATTGCCCTAGCCTGCTCTTCATCATACACTTGATTTTGAAGATACTTTCTGGAAGACCAATTTCGCCTCGAAATACCATAAAAAGGCATATATTTTGAAGTGGAAATGGGAAAAGATAGGGGACCAATAAAGACACTCACCGACATATTGACGTAGGCTGACAATGGCGATGAAGATGACCATCAGTCCACCCGTGAACTGGTAGTTGAGCTGATCGACAAAATCGACACCCTCTCCGCCGTAGGGAGTTTTGAAGAGACGGCCGAGTTTGAAGACGAAGCCACCATCCAAGAGGCCACCTGCTCCGCGGGCCATCTTAAATATCCCAATCCGGTGGCTGTATCCGCCGTCCCTGTCGCCACGACCAAGGCCGATTGAAGAGCGAAAGGTGACGGCAGGCCTCCGGATCTGGCGTCCGATGACACCGACAGCCGCGATACAGTCGGCGGGATTTGGACGAAAAGTCTTGCAGAACCGGGACAAAGGTACC